CCAGCCATGCACACCACACAGTGACCAATTAGATCTGCTAGTTCAGGGGGAGAAACTTAATTTCCAGACACCTGTAGTGCTGATATTCATATTCGTATCCCCAGGAGTACGAGTATGAATATCTCATATCTACTAACAATCCATTAGAATTATCACAAATGTTGAGAACTACCCTGTTTCCCTGAAAATAAGACCTAACCTGAAAATAAGCCCTAGTATGATTTTTCAGGATGATTGTAATATAAGCTCTATCCCCAAAAATAAGCCCTAATTAAGTGAAACCCCACCATTGTGAAGCAACCATTGTGAAGCAACCAGAAGATGACGTGACTGCATTTGAATAAACGTAGATGGTTGTACATGAAAAAAAATCCCCTGAAGATAAGCCCTACTGCTTTTTGGGAGCAAAAATTAATATATAAGACCCTGTCTTATTTTTGGGGAAACACAGTATTAGCCCAGCCCAATATGACTAACATGGATTTGTATATATATGTATGAATCTGTGTTAGTCAGAATAAAATTTTCCTAAGCAGCTGAGACTTATATTCTAATAAAGAATACTTTAAAGCTAGACTCTTTAGCTGCAGGCTGAATAGATATACAGATATACAGGCTGAATCCACAATGGAATTTCCCCACACTTTTGTCATTACATGGAGCACTATATAAGAAAAATAACACTGCATGACAAAGATGGCCTGGCCAGGCCAGGCTTATCATGAGGATCTGTGAGTTTATACCCCCTCCCCATACCACTATGGCAGCTGGACCTCTGCTGCTCCACCACCACTATCACTGCTCCCTGCTCCTCCCACCATTTCCTCTGTTGCTGCCAGCTCTGTGCTGCTCTAGGGCTGCCACAATTAGCAGATCTCTAGAGTTATCCGTCTCTGGAATACTTGGCTCCAATGGATCCTTAGAGCCACTGCTGCAACAGTGGCAAATAATTGTCCTATGATACACACAATTTCTCAAACCCCTCTCATCATGGCTTGTCTTCAAGGGTCCCTCAGACACAGGCATATCAAAGTTAGATGGCCTGTGGAGAACACTGCATGTTCTTGTCCTCTCCTGACCTCCCCCTCTTCCTCTTTATGCAGTGGTTAGGAGGAGAGCAGAGGTTCCAGCATTGCCACTGTCAATTCCTCTGGTAAGGAGTGTCACGGTGCAGTGGGAGCTGGATGTGCACCTGCAAAGAGGGATGTGTCAGGAGTGAGATAGTGGGGAATTGTTCCAAATTCTACAGTGTCTTTCTGAACACTTCTCCAGTCCCAGGCTGGCCAGTGCTGTTGTCATCACCCGGACAACTGAGCTGGATGAAGTGGAGGGGAAGAAGGAATTGTCCGCACATTCAGAGGGTGTGTGAGAGTACTGGCTAGGATGGGGGGAGTCTTTGTTGATACTTTCTGCCATATGCTAAACATGGAGGCACTGTGTAAACTGTTCCTGGCTTGTGCATCATGTGTGAACATGGGTAAGATAGCAACACCATATTTTTGTGCTACTCCTGCGGGTTGATTTGTGCACTCATAATGCCTATTATGCAAGTACCCTGTATGAGCTGTTGGCAGAGCACAATGCTACGATGGGGTGTGCAAGAATTACATTATTCCAGTTTAATCTCGGCATAGCTGGCATTGATGTAGTGGGGCTAAAACTGGCTGATTATTAATGGCACAATCAATTTCAATGTTTTAATTGTGATTTAGCCAGCTGGATAGCTGAGTAGTTTAGGTACCAGAGATTGGTTGTTTGATTCCCCAGTGTACATCTAGAGAGAAGAGCCAGCCTGTGTAGCCATGGGCAAGCTGCACAGTCCCAAGGCACCCCCAAAAGAAGGGAATAGTAAACCACTCCTAAATATTCTCTACCTAGAAAATTGTGATTTGCTGTACGTCAGAATTGTTTTGACAACACATGGTTATTGTTGATTACCTGTGATTTTGCATGTCACTTTCACTTGTTTCTGTTGGAATGACACATAGACTTTTTTAAAAAAGTTATGAACATTTGAGGGCTAATTTAAATATGATAACAATCATGTAGAAATAGCTTGAAACCATTTATCCATGGACATGGTTGAATTCCATATGAACCAATTCATGTTTGAAAAACCCTTAACCTACTTAACACTTGTGCATGGGTAATATCCACACTCTAGTATTGTGTGTATCTATTATGTGCCACCTTTTCCATATTTTCCTTTGGGTGGAGGGGGCATTCGTGTCATGGCACCATGTTTTATTCAGCAGAAGTTTTCATGGACTGCTGTGTACTTTACCAGATGCATGGATGATGTGTGTGCATCCATACATCCAATAAAGAGGTCTCCTGTACATAGAAATCTGTGCCAAATAAATCTTTTTGGTCTTTAAAATGATGCAAGATGTGTCACTGTTATTGCAGACTTGTTTCTATACATCTGTGTAAGGTAGCATGAGGCTGTTTTTTTTGTTTGGTTTAAATAAACCCAAGCAAACAAATATACATGGAATATTTGCATACATGCGGATTGATTCTCCTGTGGTCCCCAATTTGGAAATAAATAGTACGTCCTGCTATTATTCTTGTATTCCTGATATATAAGCATCCTGTGGCTGGAATGTTTACAAGATCACATATTAAAAATGTGAGAATTATGTGCTTGTTTAAAGGTTCTCTGATTGCTAGTATTTCTGACATTTTGGCATTAAACTCCTGATGAGCTCATGTTTAATCAGGTACAAACTGTTTAATTATATGGTTTCAGATGTTCGGCTTGAACAATTAGACACTGTGATGCCGTCACCAACCTGAAGAGAAACCTGATAGCCTGACTGTCGTTGGCTAAATGTTTTCAATTCATGTTAGACAAATGTTGCTTTTGTAGATAGCATGTAAGTGGTATTGCTTTGCCATGCCTGGAACAGGGAAGTCTCTGTTTGCCTTTACCAAGATCCTGAGATAAAGTTGTTCTTTTTTAGGCTACGTGCTTTGCTTTTGTTTTAAAATCCCTGCATGTTTGGATACCTCAATTACACATTTTCTGCATTTTAAAATCCCTTGAAACATTGCTTTTCTTCTTACTTGCACACAGGAGCTTTACTGTAAAGTAATTCAAAATGATAATTGCCTCCTCCTGTCATAGTCACTTTCCCCAGATTTGGCAAATGCTGAACTTTATCATGCTTTGTGGCATTGATTGTTTGAAGATTTTATCACTTTGGAGCAGTGTTTCCCAGCCTGAAAGTCCTGAACCCCAAGGTGGTCGCAATGTGTTTTCTTGAGGAGGGGTCCATTGTTTGCCTTATATGTGTTGTAATGGTAAAGGTTCCCCTTGACATTTAGTCCAGTCGTGTCCGACTCTAGGACGCGGTGCTCATCTATGTTTCCAAGCCATAGAGCCAGCGTTTGTCCGAAGACAGTTTCCGTGGTCACGTGGCCAGCATGACTAGACAAAAAACTCCATTACCTTTCCATCGAGGTGGTACCTATTTGTCTACTTGCATTTTTACATTCTTTTGGTTGCTGCTAGGTTGGCAGGAGATGGGACAAGCAACGGGAGCTCACTCAGTCACATGGATTCAATCTTACGACTGCTGGTCTTCTGACCCTGCAGCACAGAGGGTTCTGCGGTTTAACCCACAGCACCACCACATCCCCATCATATGTGTTGTAGCCCTTGTTAAATAATTTCTTCCTTGGCCTTTCAGAGGGAGATATTAATGTGTATGTTTATGGGGTGCGTGTCCCAGGTTGTGCAAACATGGTGTGTGTGTGTCCTACAGCTGCAAGGACAACAGAAAAGGCTCCAGGCCTTGTGGTTTCCACATGACCATCCCTATAATCAGAACACCACTCTGGATGATAATTTGAGGAAGCACACTGCGTTTGGCCAAAAGCAAAATCTCTCTGAGACCCTGTGGATTTTGTCTGATCTTTCCTGCAGTCGAAAAACCTGTGAAGCAAAGGGTAGATGTTTCTTGATGAGGGAGACACACATACAGTATGGTGATTATGGGTAGGCAGGGTGGCCAAATGAGAAGAGGACAATGCTCCTCTACTTTTCATTGTTGTGTAGAAAAAGACATTTCAGGAGCTGTGGCTCTGTCCTCTTTTTCATCAGGTCACTCTAACTGGGAGAGAGTTTCTAACTATTGCTATATTGTCTCCTCTTCAGTAATTACATGTTGGAAAGGTCTTTTGCTGTCACTGTGGTATTTCAAAATTGTAAACAGTGGTTTAAAAAACAGTTCCCTAGTTTAAACTGTGACATTCTTCTCAGAAATGATGCCATTGGAATGTTCTCATTAACTACACACCTTTTTTTGGGGGGTCCTCTACTTTTCATTGTTGTGTAGAAAAAGACATTTCAGGAGCTGTGGCTCTGTCCTCTTTTTCATCAGGTCACTCTAACTGGGAGAGAGTTTCTAACTATTGCTATATTGTCTCCTCTTCAGTAATTACATGTTGGAAAGGTCTTTTGCTGTCACTGTGGTATTTCAAAATTGTAAACAGTGGTTTAAAAAACAGTTCCCTAGTTTAAACTGTGACATTCTTCTCAGAAATGATGCCATATTAAACCAGTTTACTTGGGAGACCACTGCCATTTTTATATTAGATTTGAGATGAAAGTGGAATTTGAAAAGTCACCAGTGCTTGTCATCTTCTGCTTTGATATACAGTACTTTGCACGTATTCCTGTGGCTGGGCTGATACACAATTCTTTGCCCATTGTGTATTTTAGAAATAACAGTAGGAGCAGCAGCAAAACAGCTATTGTTGAGAATTCTAAACAAGGAAGAAAGTGATGGGCAAACAGAAGTGATTTTTCCCTAGATGGGGGGCATGTGGAGGTGGGGATGAAATGGGAATTCTATGGATCCATTAGTTCATTAGTATAACCTGCCCAGACAACATGATTGTCAGATGATACAAAAGTATATATAATGTGCATATAAATAAACAGTTCTACTGTGTGGCAAAAATACCTAAAACTTTAAATCTCTTATTTTTAGGAGGTGTTACCTGTGGACCTCGGTGCAAGTCCATTGGAAAAAGCAGCTGCAACAATTTAATAGTCACCAGCAATCCAATGATGGTTCAGAGACTGGGACCTTTATCTCCTCCTGCACAACAGGTCTCAACAGCATGCAACCAAATGATCCCTAGCTTGCAAAGGGCTATGAATGACGAAAACCCAAATATACCTCCATCTGATACAAGGTCTTGAGTTATATTTCTTCTCTTTAATTTTACAGGAGTGTTTTTGTGCCAATCTCTTCGAAACATCCTTCCTGGTACATGTCTTTGAAATTTAGAGTGGAAGCTACCGCTCAGAAATCATTATGATATCAAACTTTTCCTCCTTCACCAATATCTTGTTTAGATCAGAGATATGTAATTGTTGTTTTTGTTGTTGCTGATTTCTAACCTGATACCTTTGAGATTACTTTCAGCATGTGAGGGTTTTAATAACATGTTATATAAACCTTAAGTGAATTTTTATGAATATGTGTGGGCTATATGTGTGATCATCAGTGAGTGATTGAGATGTGCAGATTCGTATCTTGGACTAGAGGTTTCAGAATTCCTCAGGCAGCACAGATTTGCACATTAGTAGTGAGGGCATATTACCGCTATCTTGCAATCACTTGCTAGCACACAATGATATGTGAATGCAAGGTGACCAGTGTCAATCATTTACCCTCTGCTGCATCCTCCTGTACTACATCCCAGGTCTTTTAGGGGGCACAGGGGTTGTGGTGGTGGGGGAAGGGTAGCATCTTACATGCAATTTTTTGTTCTTATGCAGTGTTACATGTTCCCTTTTTCTATATTGTTAATACATGTAGATCTAGTTTAACATACAGATGCTGAATATTCAAAGTCAATGGTCAACATCTGGACATTTGCTTTTAATCATCCATAATTAGTGGCTGAGTTCTGAGTATGCAAGTATGTCAGCTACCAAGAGCTAGAATTTGAGTTAAGACTTTATTTTGTTTCTGTTTCTTTTCTTAATTACAGATCTCTTATGTCACGGGAATCTTTGGCATCCACCACCTTGAGCCTGTCAGAAAGCCAGTCAATACAGAGCATCAAACAAGAGTGGTTTCATGGCTATAGGATTTTTCCTTCTCCCAATCAAGGCTCCCAAAATGGCAGTGAGTTAGGTGATGTCATGAGTGTCACATCTGGGATGTCCATGTCAAACAGTGTTTCTAGTTCATTACCCTCTTACCTATTTGGTGTGGAGACCAATCGTTCACCTTATCCTAGTCCTCACCATTCTTCAACCAGGTCTCATTCAGCCAAAAAGAGGGCCCTTTCCATCTCCCCTTTGTCTGATGGCATTGGCATTGACTTCAATACAATCATCCGTACATCCCCCACCTCTCTTGTTGCTTATATAAATGGTTCAAGGACATCTCCATCAAACATCTCCCCTCAACCTGAGGTCTATGGCCATTTCTTGGGAATAAGGGGAAGTTGTATCCCCCAGAGTTGCTCTATTCCAAATCCTCAAAAAAGGCCTCTTGTGGCTAATGGCAATGTCGCCCTTCCAGATTTCAGTGGAAATGGCAACACTGAACAACAGCGCATGCAGCACTTGGAACAAAACAGTTTACAGCCGGTGGTCACAGCCAACATGGTGGTTCAACAAGGTATGTCTCTTTTAGACAACCAATCCATGGGCATAATAAAGAATGGCCCTGTGGATGGATTTTCTGGGAATTCCAGTCACACACCCTCTGCTTCTCCACTGGTTCCTCCTGTACCAGATGGTCCACCACCTCCATACCATGCACATCAGCATGATCTCATAAACCATTCCAGCCAGCTTTCTTTACCATCATCTGTCCAAGGCCCCCTCTTAGATGAGGATGGTGAACTGGATGATTATAATAGCAAACACTACTGCCATTGGATAGACTGTAGTGCCACCTATGATCAGCAAGAAGAGCTTGTGCGTCATATAGAGAAAATTCACATAGACCAGAGGAAAGGAGAGGATTTCACGTGTTTTTGGGCTGGGTGCCCTCGAAGATACAAATCATTTAATGCTCGTTATAAACTTCTAATTCATATGAGGGTGCATTCAGGAGAGAAGCCAAACAAATGTACGGTAAGTCTAAAACTTGATAGGTTGATAAATACATGGTTTACAGTATATGAAAGACCTAGGAAAGTCATGTTTAACACTACTGTAGCATTTTGCTAGCAGATCTTGTGTTGTTTTTTAGAGAAAAATATTTATAACAAAATGAATATGAACTACTGAATTAATAAACTTTTGATATGCATGGACAGAGAGACATGTTTTAATTGATTAAATGTTTTGTTAAATATTTTAATTTCAGGTATTTCAGCAAAGTTATAGGAAAGAATCCATCCTGTCCTTATTTTAGTTGCTTTGACATGATCCTTGAATGTAATGTTTTTGTTTTTTCTTGAAATGTTCCTTTGTGATTTAGATTTGACAACAGCTTTGGGCCACAACCTCTAAATATTTTGTATAGGAAAAGGTATTTTGTGTAGGAAAAGGTATTAGATTATGGCAGGCAGAAACTTGGGCAATGAGCAAGCATTTAGTTTCAGATTATTTCTAATACTCAGAAAATGAGTATGCAAACTGAATTTGAGTGTAAATTCCTTGGATTATGGATGGGGCATTTGTTAGTTTCACTTTCTAGCACATTTCATTTTTTTATAATTTTTTTTTCATTGAATTTAGGAAGTATCTTGTAAAAATCAGCTGAACACATTTTTCAGACATTTGAAATGGCCAGGTTCAGTAGGCACAATTGTTGACAGAATATGGAGAAGCATGTTTGCAACATCTTGTCCTATAGCTATTTAAGATGAGGAATCTGTCAAAAATGTTTTGGACCTTTATGTTTTCAAATGCACATCAATGACATATGTGAAGATTTTACTTTTTAAATGTTCAGTTGGATTAGATTTTAATTGAGTTGAATTATATCTGAATAGCTTGAACTCAAATGAGGGCTGAATCCAAATAACTGAATCAGCATCTCAGTTGAATTGGAGGTCATTTGCGCAGCCTTGGTAGAAATATTTTTCTGGATACTGCTCAGTTGGGTAGAATGAACTTGCTCAGTTTTCTCCATATGGGACAGGGTTCCTTGCAGGTCATAAGTAAAGTACTTTATGGATATGCTTTATGCATACAACTGACACATAAGGAGAGGATTTTCATCATACTTCAAATAAATGCTGCTTTCCCCCCTCTCTCTATCTAAACTGCATGGCCAGAAAATAAACAAAAAATTTAAAAGGTTGCAGAAGTCATCAATTCATCAAAACATCTGGCAATAGAATGTAAGCAGAATGGTGATCCTTGTTGGATAGTAAATGTAAAATGTGAACAAAAACTAATTTTTTTTATTTCTGATGGAAATTAATATTTAATGTACTTAGTGGTTAATTTAACATTTTCAGTTTAAATCTCTTCACAACAAATGTAAATTTTCACAGACTTTAGCTTAGGAGTGACAAGGCAATGCCCTCCAGATGCTGTTGGACTACAACTCCCATCAGCTTCAGCCAGCATACCAAATAGTGAGGCCTGATGAAAATTGTAGTCTCATGTCTGAAGAATTGCATGTTTTGCAATTCTGTTCTGAGACAGCCCATGCCAGAGAGGGCGTGGAGATGAACTCCTGCTGTGATGCTGGCAGAGCTGCCAAACCTGGTGGTGTGCTAGCCCCCAACTAGAACTGACTCAACCAACCAGTGGAAATTACAGTCTTGAGGATTTATCTTTCAGCAGTGGATTTGGTGAGGCTGCCTGAATGTGAGCTAGCAATTAGATTCAAGTAAACGTATGGGAGAAGAACACACAGTTGGGGAAAATAAAAATGAATGTAAAATATCAGAAATGTTCTTAGCATCCCTGGAAGCACGACCGAAGCCCATCAACTGGGAGCTGTGCCAGTAATGTTACCTCCCCCCTTCTTCCCATGTAGGAAAGGAGTCAGTGAATTCCCAATATTAGGGAGACTCCATAACACACCCGTCTGACAAATGATGATGATGATGTTGTGGTGGTAGAGAACATGCAAAATTATGTCCTGGTGCTACAGTGATGTCTGTGGTTACAGGTACTGTTAGTCCCCAGAATCCCTTCAGGGAACAGGCAATCTCTCTCTCTCTCTCTCTCTCTCTCTCTCTCTCTGTGAATGAGAGAGAGAGAGAAGGAAATGATATCATAGTCCTTGCTACTCAGAAAGTCCCTGATGCTTGGATCCAGTGAGCCCTGGCTGCACTGCAGCACTGCTAGATAACCAGTAGGTGTTTATGATGGGGTATGAGAGCAGAATGAATGTTGCCACCTGATAGTGCTATCAGTGGTATTGCCTCAACTTCTTGCCTTCTATTGGGAGAAGCTGGAGGCTCTGGTGACTGTCCTTTTGTGTTGCTGTGGAGTATTGCTTATGGGGTGGCTGGTTGTTATGTTCTCTGTAAACAGGATGTAAAATTGCAAGGGAAAGTAATCAAGAGTGTTTGGCCAACACAAAAGTCATATGATTTGCCTAGAGAATATGTATAAACATGTGGAGGGGAGAGGAGTGGGCAAATGATTCCCCTATGGGGGGGGGGACTGCTCCTTGATGTTGGCAGAAAGTACTCAACTCTAGAATGCAAGAGAAGGAGCAGCCATTTTACAATGCATCTCTGCCCCAGCTCCTCCCATATTTCCCCACAACACCTTTGCTAGACTGGGTCTTCTCTGAACTGTGTTGACTCAACCCCACTTTGGCTATTCCAGCAGCATATCTGGGTTTTCTTAAATGTATGTCATGTCAGCTACGTATCTTGAATTTCACTGGGGTATCAGACCTTCTTCAAAATCCCATAGCTGGCAGAAGTCGAGTGTAGGATTGTTATTTGGAGATTGGGGGCAGGGTATCACAGTCACAGTTAACCTTAAAGTATTTCCAAAAACACATAAATTACTGGCAAGCGTTAAGTAGAAAGTACAATGGAAAGGAGTGCACACAGAGAATATCTAAAAAATTGGATGAAAGTAATTAAAATACTTAAAGGCTGTTGTGCATTGATGGAGGTTATGTTTTAAATGGACACTTCTGGTTCGTAGCCCTTACTCGTACTTCTGTGTTTCTCAGCCAAGGTCCTTAAACTCTGAATCAGTTACCTAGACAGCGGAAATAAAGCAATTGAAGTATGCTAATATATAATTGTAGCCATGTTGATCTATGTTTAGCTCGAGTTTGTGCAGCACACATTGGTTGTTTCCAAGCCCTGTTGCAAGAAATAAACATTAAGTAAAGCAAGGCTGGAGAGCTCAGTGATTAGGTATCTATCTGGCTGTGGAGTGAGAGGTTGGGAGTTCAATTCCCCACTGTGCCTCCTGCGGGTAGAGCCAACCTGCGTAGTCCTGGGTAAGCAGGACATTCCTGGGGTTCTCCCAGAATAATGGAATGGTTAATCACTTATCTGTATTCTCTACCTGGAAAACCCCAAAAAGTGTCACCGTAAGTTAACATTGACCTGATGGCACATAATTATTATATTAAGACAAGGCTAACGATCCATTGAGCTCAGTGGAACATCAACGTCTTCTGAATATACAGGGGAGAGAGGCAACCTTGTGGAAACAGGCTCTGACACTAATCTACTCACATGCATGAGAATAATTGTAAAGAGCCTGTGTTTCCATGTGGTTGTGTAGTGCACATGTGCATTTGTTGAATGAATGTATAAACCTCTGCACACCTTTGGGAATTCAGTCTTTTTGGTAGGCTTCCAGTCATGGAGGAAAGCTTCTGTTATATGCCCGCAGGCACTTTCTTTTGGTCAGTGTTCTAAAACCTGGTGCTTGCTGAATATTTTGGAATTCAACACCCATCAAGCCTGTCTATTACGGTCAGTGGTCAGGAGTGCTTGGAGTTGTAATTCACAATGAATGGAGGGCCAGAGAAGGCTGGTTCAGAAGTTCTTCTTAAAGATATGCATGTATTGGAAGGGATGAGCTTGATTCTCCACCCTCCATTATCTTGTCCACAGAAGTGTTTAGGATTTATGTCATGACCTATTTTGAGACTTTAAAATTGTTCATTCCTCAGCATTGAAGAAAAGTGGAGGGAGTTTGTACTATACTGAAAGCCTATTTGTTTGCCTAAGGTGCCTTATTGTACATAATGCTTGGTGCCTAGTATTATCTTCAAACTTCATTTTTAACAAAATTGGATGCTAGCATCAGTTCCTGGGAGAAATGAAGAAAATATTATGGTGATGTGTTTACTTCAGTGAGAACCTGCCTTTATATACAAAAACTGTTTAGGAATTCCTGCTTAGCTGGACATTCCCACTGCACACAGATACTTTTTGTTCAAAGGAATGACTTGTTTAGGTGTAGAAAACACTGAGGGTATAATATACATATTAACAAGATAGCATTTTAAGACTCAACCAAACATTACTTTAAGTGTGGTGAGCAACCACAGCTGTTTAAAAAAACATTGATACCCAAGGGGGGCACTTGAAATTTTTGTTAGGGCTGTACTTGGTGGGAATAAGTTGCTGAACCTTTCATTTCTTAGCCACAATTGTGACAGGAGTCCCTCCTGCCATGCAGCAGTTTATTGTTGGGGGAAAAGCTCCCATGGGTGACAAAGGGAGCTTTATCCTCCAAACACAGATTGGCATGTGAGGGGAGGTGGGTGGATTTTTATTGAAATGGTAACTAGTGAGAGAAAGGTGAAATCTCTCCTCCTTTCATGCTGCAACTGTTAGCAAAACTGCAGGGATGGTATAGCACCACATTTATTTTAACCCATTCAATCAGTGGTACAATGGTGCCTGGCAAGACGCTTACCCCGCATGACATCGAAATCGCTTGACAATGACATTTTTGCAATCGCTATTGCGGAAATCCGCTTTATGTTGATTAGGAGCCTGCTTCATGAACAGTTTGTTCGCAAAATGATGTTTTTTCTGGCTCTGCAAAATGGCTTCCCTCCCTTCTCAAAATGGCTGCTTTCCAGACGGAAGCTTTGCATTGCAATGATTTTTAACAGCTGATCGGTGGTTCTCTATGGGCAATCTTCGCTGGACAATGAGGTATTTCCCCCATTGGAA